CCATGAGTTTCTTGGGAGTTCGGTACAGGAAACGTCCCAAGCGTCACCCGGCTTTGGGTCGAGTTGGCATCTCTAGCCTTTGCACATCCAACTGCTAACAGCAAGGCAGCAGGAAGGTGGTGCATGGTTGCCGGTGGCCCTCTGGGAGCTCATACGCCATTGTCAGTTGNCGGAGTCATTGTCTCGGCCGCTGAGTCGTGAAACCGACTTCGTCAGCATAACACGTACTTAGACACCGACTCGCCGGGAGTTGAGCTCCCAGTTACCCTCAACCTGGTTTGGCCCACCTGTCGAGCGGTTTACCGGGGTGTGGCCGCTGTTGTATTCAAACAGCTTCTGGGAGCCACAGGTGAGAGCTGAGAACCCAGTGGAGACCAAAGAACGGAGGATGCCCCAAAGGAGCCGACAGCCCTCCGAGTCAGAGGTGCTACTCCTACCCCATACACCATGTGTTACGCATGTCACCAGAAAGGTTGCTATAGCGCGCGATGGTTTCCCAACGTAGGAAGTGGGTGGAAAAAGGAGTGTTCAAACGAATGCCTGGCATAATAGTAAGAAAACTTTGACCAGAAGACTCAATCATATAGGTCGCGTTAGGCTCCGCGGATGGAGACCTCTGGATCAGTGTAATCCATGGTTAGGGACATTGCGCGATACAGCTAAGTGTCACAAACAGTGGCGCTCGTGCATCGTCTCAATTTCTTTGCAAGCTTAGGCTACTTGAATTCTCCATTTTCTCTTAGACGCCACTTTGAATGTTCCTATCTTTCTATTACCCCTTCATCCAAATGGATTGCCAAAATCGTCACACACTGGCAACCCTCATGTTAGCCCTAGAAAGCTCCAGCAAGCATTGAGCTCTTTAAACGGAAGCAAACCACCAGATCCGGACGATATTCCACCCATCATCTTCAAAACGTGTGCTGCCGAGTTAGCTCGTACTTGACATCATCTTTTCTGCACTTCCCCTCAATTTGGGACTTTCACTTTTTAGTGCAATTCAAATTGTGTAATGAAAAATTGAATATATAAGCTGTCAGTATGGTCGAACAGGACACCAAATAGGGTTCAAACCAAAATCTGAAGAACAATGATTAGAAACAATCAGGTGCATTAAATTCATTCGTTATAAAACACTATCTGAGGACGAACAAGCAATCAATTCTGTTTCAAGAGAATCAACAATGTCGAATCGGATTCCTTTTCAATGTTTCGGATGAGGCAGTAAGACACGGAATGATGGCTGATACTCATGACAGTAGTTAATTTCTGTTCAAGCTAATGGTTCGTAGATATGATGTATGGATCATTAATCTGACAAGAATAGGGTTAAGTATTGTGGAAAAACAAAATAACACACTGACGATTATCACACTGACCTGCGAATGCTCGATCACTTCCCGTAAGAATGATAGCCTTGACATTGTCGTCTGCTTCAAATTGATCTAGCGCGAGGGAAATGTCACGAATCAATCCCGCACAAAGCGCGTTTAGAGCTTTCGGTCGATTTAGTTGAATCAGTCCGACATTTTTTCCCGAACCTTTAAGATCCGTTAAAACGAATTCGAATTTGGGTTCCACATTCTCTGTTGAAATAAAACATACGCATTACGACACTCAGACATACGTGACAGGAAACGGGCTGGCTGTGCGGCGAAAACGATTCGATGACACTGGGGAATGCATCGTCCGAAAGAGCGTAATGCGATCATCGTAGCGCTCTAATAGAATGGGACGGATGCTAAAATACGCCAGAAAAAGTAAACAGTCAATTAATTACTGTGCACAACGACTGCTCAATCGGGGTTATAACGAACCGCAAATAAGGCTATTGCTAAACTTGAGGTCGGCAGCTAGGGGAGGAGCCGAAAATGTGAGGGGACAAATTCAAGGTTGCGCGTGCGAATACTGTGAAAAGGAGTATTAAAATTACTATAGGAATACGGGCTGGATCAACCGGTTTACAACGTAGGCATATCAAAACAGATTGAAAAACGGTGCATGAATATTCTTTTGAATTGAAGTATTTTTTGTTCAGCTTCACCAACTTGTAGGTTCGAAAACAAGTTAAATAATGGTCGGCAAGTATCGTTCGTCGTTTTGCTAATATTCTCCAATGTAAGTGGTTCGTTCAATCCATGTTCCGCTCAGAGTTGAAGTAGGAGATCTTCGTTGCCCGTCCGGTTGGCCGGGACTGCATGTGGACCCCCAAGAAGTTTTTTTGATTCGCCCACAAATCTCACTTAGGCATTGAAATTTCCAGCGACTATAGCGGCGTCCGTTGATAGAACACTGAAGTAAGCGAAAAAGATCCTTGCAGAACTCATCCCTGTTTTTAGGTAAGCTACACTGGTGCATACATTGATAAGACGAAAAAGCATCGACGCTTCGTTCTGTAATTGTTCATCCGTACTGAACCATCGGCTAGTGACTGGAATCAAGCCAAGACGCGAGCGCTTGGCCTTGAATCTTAGCGCAATCTCGACACCAGCAACATCGCAAGCGTCGGGTTCCGAATCGCCTGACACACGAAGGGTGAAGGTTGAGGATGATATTGGGTAAGGATGACGTAGGTAGACAACTGAATTAGGGTCTTGTATGTGTGTTTCGGATACATAGCATACGTCCAAGTTGAACTGGACACCAATGGATTGCGGTTTTCCCACACCGCCCCGCTGCCTTGCGGGTCAGGCTTTGGTTCGCAGAAGGTTCCGGTGATGGATTCCTCAAGATAATTCACCTGCCTTGGCCTGGGCAGTATTCAGACGATATACAAATCATGAAACGTTTTTCTTTTTTATAAATATGATTGTACCATAGTTTGTTTGGCACAGTCCGTGCTCATACGTATATATATATATATTTACATATATATATATATATATGATAACAACTAGTATGTGGATGACTGGACAAAATTTCCCTGGGAGCACACGACCGGTTTCGCGGTCCTTGCCGCTCGTCAAGCATGCGTATCTGTCAGTTCATTTATATACTTGTACCCAGAAAGTATATTTTCGACACAATAACCTTGTTTGCATTACTGGGTGACGTTTGGATAGACAGCTCTTTCAGAGCCAGTCCACTGAACAATCAATGCTATGATTCGATGTTTTGTAAGCCGCATTTAGGTCACATACTGCTGCAAACAGTTACAGCCACTTATTTCTAATACTGCATGTGTTGGTTACACGTAACTTACAGCTTCCTGTAAATGGTTTTCCGGGCTCCCTATGCACTCTATATTGGGCCTCGGGCGTAGCACCCGAGTGGATAAAAAGCTTTTTGACGACTTGCTCCCTTCATCCTGCTTATGTCCCCATAGGAACGATGACTTCGTGCCACAGCTAACTCATNACTCATGGGGTAAAGGTGGACCCTTCTGGGAGTGTTAAAAATAGGTTAGTCGTGTAAGTGATTAAAAGAAAATTAGCAAGCGAGACACAGGTAAGGTAAAAAGACATTTGGCTAGATCGAATATTATTATTATTATTATTATATTACATTATATTACCAGGTCCTAGCACCACGAGCTGCGATTTCTCGTTACAATCCAACTGACTAGTCTCCTTTTGGTTCGTCTTGCTCACAGTAGTTGGGTGGAGATGAAGGCTTCCCATCCACGCGTAGTCAACGCTGAATGGGAAAACTATCAAGGTATGCG